TTTTTTTTTTTTTGGTACCGGGGATTGGACTCGGGTCCTTGTGCTTGCAAGGCAGGCCACCAAGCCACTGAGCTAAATCTCTGGCCCCTAGGTGTCTAATTTTTAAAATAGCTAAAGAGGCAGAGAAAGATAAAAATATTTTGGATTCACTACTAAAGTCATAAAGTTTACATGCATGTGTATGTATATAGAATGTATTTATTGAATCACAATACCTCTTTGATTGCCTGCTCTCATGACAGTGACATTTAAAGTTTTTACTTGAAATGTATCACTTTAAACTTTCATATCTACCAGAAAAAAAGATACACAATCATGTCCTCCTGCCTTGTAAATGTGAGAAACAAGTTTCATGGAGATTAATTTATTTACCTTCAGTCGTTCACCTCCTATGTGGCAGAGCAGAACCTCTAACCCAAGCTGTCAGATTAGAGAGCCCTTTCTTTCATAAAAGGCTGTCCAAAAAGTAAGTTGCAAGGCAGTGTACTAGGCTCTGAAAGGATTGTTAGGTGAATCTGGCCCAGTTACCATCTTTAAGATTAGGAACATCTGAAACTTATGGAGGCAAATAACTATGTTTATTTGTTAGAGTGATCAAATGCATTTCAAAAGAGAAGAATGAAGAAGATGACATTATATGTTCATTCGAATGGATAACAGAAACTTTGTGATGTGGCTAGAGTTGAACAGCTATAGGGTTTCCGATACTCTCTGTATACTACCTAATCATTCTACCCATGAATCTGTGAAGTACGCAAAATCAATCTCACACCTTTAATCTTTCACAGAATTATAATAAGGATGTTGGAAATGGATTATGGGGGAAAGTGATGAATGTTTCTGCTTTAATATGCGTGAAGAATTTCAATTATAATCAAGTAAACGAACTTACTTCTAGAGAGATTCTCAAGGGCTTTCCCCAGCTTCTTGCTCTCTTGAAGGATGTGGTTCAATTCATCAAAATCACGGCTTTCTGGTTTAGTCCGCCAGTTCCATCTAGGATGCTCTACTGACCTTGACACTATGTTTAAAAGAAATGGTTATTCATAAGCATGCTATATATGATTGAAACTCACTATTCATCATTATGTGAAAGATTGTACCAAGATGAAATGGTTCTTGTGAGCTAAAAGAAAGAAAGGTGTAATGTCAGTTAAAATTTTTAACTGAACAAGTAAAAGGAAAGAGTGGCACTATTAACAAAGACAAAGATATCCAGATATTGATTTGGAGCTAATAATTTCTGTAATTTAGGGAGAAATATTCAGGCAAAGCATAACTGTATTACGTTACCATCTTAAAAGTAATTACTGACTTAATGAGCAACTCACAAATATTTTAAGACATTCTTTCTATATCTTAATAAAACAAAAAAGATAAAATACATGTGTTTACTTTTACTTCCTCTCAAATTCCCACTAAAATTATGTTATATTTAAGGGAATTTGGGCTGTCAAATAATTGGTTGAGCAAGGAGAAAGGATATTACTAGACAATAAATGATTTTAGGAAGATGTAAAATGGTAACTATTTAGTAAGGTAGAAAAACTGAAACAAAAGTCCATGAAGAGAAGGATGGCAAGAGAACAAGCATTTCACACTCTTAAATATTAGAGCATCAAAATGTTTTAATCATACAGATGTAAGAACACAATTGTATTCCAGATTTAAGGGGTCTATTAAACATCAAGCACAGTTCAATTTGTATTATAAAAACTTTTAAATATTGACAATAAAGAAAAGATTGTAAATACTTTCAGGTTCAAAAACAGCAAATCAAATGTATATCAGCAGCAACACTTGCCCTAAAAGACAGAACAAATTCTGACTGGAAATAACTTCTAACTCAGAATTTTATATCAGCTAATGAATCAACCAAGGTACTTAAAGGACTCAAGCACTCTCTCCCAGAAAGCTGGCAGTAGAGATGCTTTAATGAAATGAAAAGTGAACAAAAAACAGGTTGAAATTTGAGAAACAAGTGATCTCCCTAAAGGAAAAGGAAAGGGGGAATTCTCAGGATGATAGAGAAGGAGAAGACAGCAAAGAAAATGTCTAGGACCCCAGAGGTTTAGAAATCAAGAGTAGACCGAGAAGACAGAGAGGTGCAGCGGAGAGGCTTATTTCCAAATCCTTCTCAATGAATTTTTTAAAAGGCAAAATAACATAAGAATGTAGGAATTACAATTACTTGATGTGTTTGATCATATTACTAAGGTTTAATTCTCTGGGCAAAGTTTGGTGAAGGATTCGTGATGAGTACATAGAAAACAAGGTAAAACAGAAGAGAGAAAATTGTTCATTCTAAGAAGTTCAGTAATTGGACGTGGCAAGTCTGGAGGGTGAAAAATGTTACTACTACAATCATAATTCTATCAATGCAGAATATATATTTAACCAACATGAAATAAATGCATTACGACATGTCAGGATGAGAGGGGAGTTAGTAGTGAATCACAAAGTATGGAGGACAAGAGAAGATGCCTCAAGTTAAACAAGGAAAAGAAGTGTGTTAGAACTTTCTACAGTCTGACATGAAGACTTAGCCCAAAGCAACATCTAACACAGGTGAAAAGTGACTCCAGTTTAGGAGCACAGGTGGGAGGAAAGAAAAAAAAAAGCACTACTATTTCATAGTATGACTTTATTTTTAAAATCATGCACTTTTATGATGACAACAATAAAAGGAATTTTTTCAAATTATTTTTTCAAATAGAGCAAGGATACAGAAAATAGTCCTAAACTATTAAAACATCATTCTGCCACCTTTTCAAAAAGCAATGCACTCTCTTGGGGACACAGCAATCTTCTCTCTGGTAAATCATCATAAAGAAATGAAAACACTTGTACTTGTATGCTGTACATGTACAAAATTGTTCATTTTTTCACAGAAACATTAAGGTTTTTTTTATTTCATCAAATCATGTGTGGCGGCAAAACCTTGGAAACTATCTAGACATCTTTCAACAGAAGAATGGCTAAGTAAATTATTGTTCATTCACATTATGCTACAGTATGCAATTATTAACACTATAAGTTAAATCTAAGTTTATTACTGTGGAGATATTTCCATAATGCATTTTAAAATAATAAAAATAAGTAGCTTAGGAAAGTTTACAGTTTTGAGCTATTTTTATAGCAAATCACCCACACATGTTACATATGCTTGTGTGCACAAAGAAAATGATACAAAAGGGCAAAGCTATTTTTCACAGAACTGAATTTGATGGGTAGGAATGGGAGAAAGCATTTATCTTTCTACATGTGAATATTTTCTAAGTTTTCAAAATAGGAAAGTGGTCCTTGTGTAATTCAAATAAGCCTAAAAAAAAACAACCACTTTAATACAGTATTTATAGAACTCAGCTAGCTCCTCTGAGCCTCTCTGTATAAGCGACTCTGGGACAGAGGTAACAGCCAACGTTGACAGTCTGACGTTCAAGCTGTGAGGAGTGGAGTTACTGGTTAATCTGGAAAATACTTCCAGACATTTCTATCACCTGCCATTCCCCAGGGGATCCCTCAGAAAGAGTCAAGACCTAAGAGAAAGAAGCTCAGACGATGGAGCAAATAAAACAATAGTTGTACCAGAGTCTTCAAAGATTAAAAATTTATATTTTTAATCTTCTTTAAATAATTTCTCATCTGCAATCTGTATCTCTACTTTGTCTAATTTCCTGGGAAATACCATGACCATCAAGATTTTTCTTTCTCCCTCTCTCTCCTTTTTAATTTATTAACAAGAACATAGATTTTTAAAAATCCCAGGCAACACCCTCAAATAACCCCAGATATGCCCCAGCCACCTGCCACCCCAGCTGAGCCCACTGCATGCCCACATGTGGAGCCCAGGAGAAAAACCGGCCAGTCAACACCAAATCATGAAGAACTATAAAGTGCTTTAGAGCCATTGAACTTGGGGAGTTTATAAGCAGTTTAACAGAAAACCGATACAACCACTAAGGACTTTCCCTCAGCAACTTGCAGGAGAATCTACAATCATTTTTTGTTGTTTTTGCGTTCATGATAAATTTGATATGTATATAGCACATGACATCATGGGAACCTTTTAATAGAAAACATGGGTGCAAGGAGGATTTCTAGAATTCTTGTGACTTATTTCCAACAATATCGTTTTGTCAGAAAACATACTTCATATAATTTTAGTCACTGTTTAATGGTACACTGTATTCTCTATCTTTCTGCATATTCTATCTGGAATTGAGAATTATATATATTTTAACTGCATTGGTCACAGTGCTCTATAAATGTCAGCTCAAGGTGGCCAATAGTGTTCCAATCTGCATTCTTCTTGATTTTTCTGGTTTGTTTAATCTGTTAATATCTCCCTTTAGTTCTATAAATCATGTAGCTAGGTAGCATCCCACAAAAAGCAAAGAGTCTTTAGGACATTCCACTCTCAGTGATAAATGATGGAATCCAAAAGTGGCTATCTAAACTAGTAATCTGCTAGGGTCATGAACTTATCATTACTACACAGAGAGCAGGAAAGGTGGAGAGGGAGAGAGGAGAGATGGAGAGATCCATGATGAAAAGAAACAGAAATGATTCATTTCAATTTTTGTTTCTCTCTTTAATCATATTTTTCATTTAGTAATTTGTAATTAACTTAGGAACTGTGTTGGATACTATTAGGTGCGCTGGTATGAATAAGATAGGCAAATTATGAACTTGTTTTTTTATTTTTACTTTTATTGGTACATGTGTGTAGCAGTTCATGATTACATTCATTGTGGGGGATTCAAACATGTGCATACACATGTTAATTCTTTTTATTTCCCTTTCCCCTCTCCTCCCTCTCCACTTGTATGTTTTAAAAATTGTTGTGATCTAATTTTATATACTAACCTTGTGAAGCTGAACAATTTGATTACAATCTTAATTTGCTAAGTTTATAATACTCCATACAGTCCTCACAGTAACTTGGTGTGGATAATACTATTTATGTGTTCTACTAAGTAAATAAAGATCTCCAGACTTAATGTTAGTGTCTTCCACAGATGACCCAGATAGAGATTCCAGTTAACACATGGTTTTTCAAACATCTTCAAACAATAATAACCATTTCAACCTACTCCCTTCCCTGATGAAATTAAAAACAAGCATCTTGCTACATAACAAGCATAAGGAACTAATATCAGGAAGAAGAGTTGCAAGCTTTTGTCTTCCAAGAATAATTGATATCTGATGCAGGCTTCTGAGCTATTTAGTAAGCTTCTACATGTGTGGTAGCAGAGCACTGGAGAAAACGAGTGGTTATTAAGGTAGCAGGAAAGGAGGAGGGATACTGAGAAAGAAGGATACTAAGGATAATGGGGGAAAAATAAGCATAGGGATTTCAGCCACAAGCAATAATGTATGGGACTTCATGGAGATCCTAAGTAAAGAATTTTAAATTTTTTTAATTCATTTTTTTATTTGTATTAGTACATGTTTATAATATATAATGATTATATTCGTCGTAGGGAGTTGATACACATACATTACACATCTTACTATGTTTTATGTCCCAGTCCACTTCCCTCCTGCCTCCCATCCTCCATCTCTTTGTTTTTAAATGTTTGGAATAGGAATTCCTTTTACTTCTGCTGTAAAAGATTTAATTTGCTTTTATGTATTTCGTAAACATGGTTCCGGTTCTGTCTTGAATGCTTCAAATGGCACGAGAGGCAGGGACCATTCCAAGAAGTTCACGGTCTTCAAAGAACAACATAATAGAAATGGTCTAAATCAGTTAGATATGTTTGAGAGGATAAGAAAGATGTTAATGCTGAAATGGCAATGGAATTTATTAGGATTAATAGCTGGAAATATCAGGTAAAATGTCTGACTTCAATTACTACCTTTTCATTTTCTGAACAATAAAGGCTGAAAAACTGAATCACATTTGAATAACAAATTTACTCACATGATTTGGAATCCGGTGATGGGGGAGAAATATTAGATACAGCAAGGTCACTTTTTGATTTTTTAGGCTTCTTTGCATTTAATTGCCAAGGTTTATCATAGCTTCTGAAATCTCTCCTTGTTCCTTTAGTTTCTGTAAAACAAAACAAAACAAACAAACAAAGAAATATACCCAGTTATAAGTATACCTAGTTATACCCAGTTATAACACATATACCCAGTTATAAAGATGAAAGAATTCTGGTTATAAAATATAACATCTGATCATAGAAAGGATCACTAAAAGGAGCCCAGAGAGGAATAAGACACATGATATTGTGAACGTCTAAAATGTCTACTTCTAGCAACCAAGAAAATTATATTAATTCATATCTAGCAACGATATTCTTATGTAGTTGGTTGCAAAGAGGCAAGAAACAGTAAGTAATTTCTTCAGCTTTGCAGAGATACACAGGATTTAACTCTTACTGGGATTTTCAACAGCAGTTTTGATTATCCACCTACATAAAATATTGAAAAGAATCCAAATCCAATAGTTTGAAGCTATATGATAAGGCAACAAAGGAGACTACCAGCACTAATTTATTAACCAACCTCAAACTAGATAAAACACTTTACATTTCAATTTGAATAAGCAAAATAATATCATTCTGAGAAAAATTTCATACAGAAAACAAGAATATAAGCTGGGCATGCTGCAGTGCCTTAATCCCAGAACCCAGGATCACAAATTTCATTCCAGTTTGGGCAACTTAGCAACTTAGACCCTATCTGAAAATAAAAAAATGCAAAAGACATTGGAGATGTACATTAGTACAGAGTCCCTGTATTCAATTCTCCATACAAAGTAAAGAAAGAGAAAGAAGGAAGGAAAGAAAGAAAAGATTGACTCAAGATTCAGAAGAAATCATACATTTAAATAAATGTTAAAACATAACTGCTTTAAAAAAACATAACTACTTTTTCTACTCATTAAAAATAAAAGAAAATGAACTCTGTGGAGCAAAAAGAAATTAGAGGGAAGATAAGAAGACTGAACTATGATTAAAAGTGTAGTTGTGCAGGCTGTGGATTTAGCTCAGTGGTGCTGCCACCTGCCTCGCAAGCGCAAGGTCCTGCATTTGATTCGGGTACCAAAAAAAAAAAAAAAGTTGTGTCCAGATTATTTTTTTTAAAGATATGCTGCCTGCCTTGCAAGGACGTGAGTTTGATACCCATACCCCCCAAAGGGGGGGGTAAGATAAAGAAGCACTAGGAGGAATCTGAAGTGCAATGTCTCATATAAATTTGTGTTCAAAGCCAGAAAGAGAAAACCGATACTGCCAATACTTAACCAGTGACACAAAGAACACACCTTATTCAATACACCACTCCACAAGAGTCGATAAAATAGGAAAGGCAAATACAATGCCAAATGCAATGAGAGAGGAGATACAGTAGTGATAATTCAATTCTCTGAAAGTTGATGGTGGAAGTCTTTGTGAAATTTTTGAATATCAAAAATGAAGAAAAATTCATAAATGTCTTTTCGCTGTACTTCTTTCATAATTCAGATAAAGAATGTGCCCCCAAAGGCTATGTGTTCAGAGGTGGGGCTTTGGGGAGGTGATTGGATCACTGGGATGCTATATTCATCAGTGGACTGACCCACTTACCAATCCATAGCTTTGTGTCTATATTGGCACCGTGCCTGCCTTACAAGGTCCTGAGTTCAATCCCCAATACCAAAAAAATAAAATCAATCAATAAATAAACTAAGACAATCGATAGCTGAATTTGGGATAGGAGATGGGACCAGGTTAGAGGCAGGGCCTGATTAGAGGTGGGTCATCGAGGGTGTGACCCTAAAGGGTGTCCCCAGCTCATCCTTTCTCTCTGCTTCCTGGCTGCCATGGTATGAGTGGCTTTTCTCCATCCAGACTCTTCCACCTTGACTTTCCTCATCTGCAATTTCCTGGAATAGTGTTGGTTCCTGCAAATCCTTACCCCCACAGGGTCTGGAGGCAGGGCTGGGATCCCCTGGTGCAGAAATGCTTCTGTAAGGCCAGGGATTTAACTCACTGGTGCTGCTGCCTGCCTACAAGTGTGCTGTCCCAAGGTCAATCCCCAGTACCAAAAAAAAAAAAAAAAAAAAAAAAAAAAAAAAAAAAAAAAAAAAAAAAAAAAACACTGCT